GACAGTCTGGTTGTATTTTATGGGGAAGCCTTAAGCTTGCCCTCTAGTGGTTAAATGCCCTGTTAAAGGAACCTTTATTTGTTTTCATAATAGACTTGTCTTTTTATTTCTTGCTGTAGATTTGGCCTGGCACCTGGGCACCTCACATTGGAAACATGCATCTCAAGTACGTCAACTGATTTAAGGGGGTCTATCCTTTTTTAGCCTTGTTTGGGAATCTTTATGATCTTGAAGAAGCCTGGGGATTTTTTATGTGCCTAACTAAGCAATTTTCTGTGGGCTGTAACAATAGAAACTTGATTGCCCATTGTATAAGAACAAATTGATTTACCTATACAAACTGATTCTGTTGTCCAGTTAGTTTAGCCATTTTGAACTTAAAAATCAGTTAAAACTAGTGCTTTTGGCTAAACGCTACTGAATGCTCCTTGTGTGCAGCAGAGAACTAGCTGATGACATGATTTCAACCTTTTAGGGTGGTAAATACCTGTATAATTGTTTACATACTTAAAAGGAAAAGCAGAGTAAATTTCATGTCGTATAGTGGCTCTACTTTATGTAGCCTGTATTAACGTGAAATATTTACCTGAATATTCAATAAAAGGCGAACAGTATTTATAGGTTGTGTGTGAGAATTTTGGAGGAGGCTGTATGTTGTTGTCACTTGTAGCTGCTGCCGTGCCCAGTGATGCTTCTTTTCAGGGTCACGTAATTAGCACATGGATGCAGTCAGGGTTTGGGGGAGGGTTTTGATCTGCAGTCATGTGCAATATGAGGTCTGCAGAGTCCTTCCCCCTGCCACTTGTTAGCCTTTTGTGTGTGTGTGAACATGGTTGTGTGTTATTATTTTATTTTTTTTTTCCTTCTCGATTAGTTCTGTTGCTTCTAGCACTCTTCCGAGACAGGTTGCCTAAGAGATCAGGTTTTGTTCAGGGACTGGAAATAAGGGCTGAGTTGACAACGTGGCAACTGATGGCATCTTAATTTGCAGAAGGTTAAATAAGTAGCTTGTAGGTAAATGCAGGGTTTCTTCACCTGACTCGCTGTGACCAGCTGCTTAGAAGCAGATCTTAGGAAAGCAGAGACTAGAGAAAAACATAATATATTCAACTTGAAGCTTCTTGTAACCCTTTAAATCTGGTGAGAGCTCCTCAAGTCCTTTCTGTGAGGAAAAAGGGGATTTTTGAATACTGCTTAAGATGAAAGTTCATTCTCTACTGAGGTGCAGAACTTCTCCACTTTCTGCACTTGGACTATGCTTATTTCTGCTTTTGCTCAGTAGCGATGCAGTAATGGCACTGAATATTTGGTTCGTTCATCAAGCAGAGAACTGCAGTGCATGTAGTGTCCAATTGAATGGACCACTTTTCGTGGTCTCTCAGAACAGATGGAGATTTCTCCACCTTCCTCCGCCTTCTCCAGACACATCCTTACATGCAGCAGCAGACGTTTCCCAGGAAAAGCATGAGGAAGGAGTGCTGAAAACCCAAAGTGCACAAGCAATAGCTGAGTACCACAGGCAAATAAACCTCAGAAATGCTCCCGGATGATATATTCGGATATTTTTCCCAGTATTTGAGGAAGAAATGCAAAAAACATTGAACTGCTGCTGCCCCCCTGATAGTGCAAACACCAAAGGAGAGACACTCTTGTTAACAGTAGCTGCATTGAACACAAGTGGTGCGGCAGTGCAATAGGTGTTTGCTCTGGAGGCAAGTTGCAGGGGAGGGGCAGGGCGGTTCCTAAGGCCCTTCCCCACCCTGTGGGCTCCATGGCTGCCAAAGGCACCGCTGCCACCACCTTCTGCCCCATTCGGGGGAGCCACCATCTCCCCATCCTGGAGGGCTTCAGCTCCACGCTGGGTTAGCCCCGTCTACTCCACCACGCCAGGGAGTAGACCTGCATAGGGGTGGGGTCATCCCTTGAATGGAACAGTGGCCACAGCCACCCCATCCCTGCCTAATTTAGGCAGCTCCTTCCTAAGCGGGTCCCTTCCTGGACTCTCCACCTTGCAGCATGGTCCTTAGAGGCATGGGCACCAGCTCTGGGCAGCAGATCCATGGGGTGGTGGCTTCCCTGGCAGCCCAGAGCTGGAGGGGAAAAGGCAACCCCAAAGTTTTGTGGGAAGATACTGCTGGAAGTCAGGACCATCATTGCCCCGTGGTACCAGGGAGAACAGGCAGAGGCAGAGCCTGGTGCTCACACTGCTGGGGAGCAAGCTGCTGGCAGTGCCACTGGGCTGGTGGATGCAGTGCTGGTCCTTTGGGAGCAGTCATGCCCGGGCACAGCTGGCTGGAGCTGGGGGAGGCACAGACAGGCCTAGTGCAAGAAGTCTGCTCCCACCCAAGTTCACCAGCCCTGGGGCAAGGTACTGGGTGGCACGGCTCCCTCCTGGGCCTGCGCTCTTGCCCCCCTTCCAACCCCTGACCAAAGCCCCTGGTTCAGCTGTTGAGCAGGTCCTTTTCTTTGCTGTCTGTCCTCAGGGTAGCGTGTGCCCAGTCCCTGAGCTGGGCATGTGTCGGCTGAGCTACAGGTGCCCACCCTGTGGGCGCTGGCTCCATCATGTGCCTCTGGCACATTATCTGGGGCTGGTGAGCCAGGCCTGGGCTAGTGGGGCTGTGACTCACCTAATGTGGTTGTGGTGCTGGGAGCTCTGGGCTGGCTGCTGCAGCCTGGCAGGGAAGCAGTGCTTGGCGGCAGGGGAAGGCAGGCCGGGCCTGGTGCAGGGCAGCAGACATGGCATGTGAGCTGGCATGACTGTAGGGATTGCTAGCAGGTGCTTGGGGTACAGGGGGTGGCAACATGTGCCTTGGGGGG